CTAGAAAATATATATTTCATAATGGTGATGATTATGACGACCAAAATGATGAAGAAGATGATGATGATGAAAATGATGGTGACGATGATGAAGATGATGATGAAGAAGATGATGATGATGACGATGAAGGCCTAGCTAATCGTACTGCTTGTCAATCCATGAATCCATCAACATACATTCCTAAAATGATTGCCCTAACCGTTATGACGGAGAATAAACGTACATTGACCACGATAACGATTGTGATGATGATGAATGACGACGATGATGGCAGTGATTACAAAGATGATGATGACGACGTTGAAAAAGATGATGGGTATCACTATCATCATAAACACCATTTAGAGTTTCACTACCATCACTACACTTGCCGCAATCATTATCATCAACACTACCGCCGGTCATCATCATCATCGTTGCCATCATCATCGTCATCATCGCCATAATCATCGTCATCATCATCACCACCGCCAGTCATACAAACGCCAATCCAATTCTCCTTCCCGCCAAAATAACTTGTCGATAAAGTTTAACGCTTGACCACGTGACCTCATCATCAAGCTAATCATCATCATCGTCATCATAATCAGTGACGTCACCGTCATCTTCGTTCGTCATCACCTTCATCGTCGTCGTCAGCATCATTATCTTTTTCCTCCTCTCTTTCCGCATCATCATCGTCATCGTCAATATAACTTTCGTAATCGTCATCAACATCATCTGCGTCATCACTGATGTCATTATTTCTTTGACGTCATCACCATCTTGATCAGTGGCAGGATTCAAAATGATCAACCGTGTACAAGAATCCATCCCGACCGACAGCAAGTCCAATCAATGTATTACGAACATCTTTTCCAATTCTCAGTCGTTGTAATCGCCATTCATCATTTTATTATAGTCTGTATTTTTATGATAATAATTAGCATCGTCATCGTCATCATCATCATCATTCCTATCATATGCACCACCATCACCATCATCATCATCATCACGCCATCACCAGTGACCTATTAACCTTGTGACCTAATTTGAAAGCCAATCCTCAACGCTTTATGACTGCTTCTAGGAACTCGACTCAAAAAGTTATAAAAAATATATACAGAGGAAAAGTGAAAATTCAGAAGGAAAAATTAAATTTAATGCACTTGAGCGCACATTCACACGCACATTCATACGCACATACGCACTCATCTACACAAACACATACACGCGCACACACACACACATGGTGCCGTATAATTGGAATAATATTTTGTTGAATCTCCAAGGATTCTCGCAATATAGCAGCAAGACTGAACTTATTCCACTCAACATTTCTGAATTTTGAAAAAAAAATTTTTCTTCCTTCTAAATTTGAAAAAGAGGAGTCTTGAAATTGTCATAAAAAGTGCTCAAACACACGTGAGCTGTCAAAACATTTTTGGATGCTCTGAAAAACAACAAACGAAAAAATGAAACAGAAGCTTTTTTTATAAAATTAAGTTTTAGAGAATAGGAGTTCAGAAAAAAATAAAACCATTCAGAAATTCAGTTTCAAAAATAAAAACAAATAAAGGTAACAAGATTAGGAAAAAACGTATTCACACGCACATTTATACGAGGGCACATTTGCATCTACACAAAACTTAACTTCCCACACCACCCACGCACACACGCACACACACACACGCACACATGCACACACACAAGAACACAAAATGTTACTGCAGATTTGCTGTTTATTGCCCAACACTGACTTCCAACTTTGCCGTTATGATGTTTATCGTGAAGACGATGTTTGTGATGATGACGAAGAAGATGGTGGTGATGATAATGACGTCACTGATGGTGGCAATGATGACGTGAGTGTGAAAATTAATTATGATAATGAGGCTGTTATTGCTAATGATGATTCAAACAACGTAGATGGATGATCGTGTTTATGATGTTAATGTTGTTAATACAAATGAAGTGTTTGCTGGAGAATGTGGTGAATGTGAGAGGAAAAAAGCATTATAATTTTAAAACCATTGCAATTTTGTAAGACACAGACACACACACACACACACACACACACACACACACACACAAACACACACAGAGCATATGAAAGAGCAAGAGTGATGAGACCGCAATGGCCAATAAAACTGAATTCTATTTTTCGACGTAGAAAAAAAAATTGAAAAACTGTCATCAGATTCAATACATTGAGCTACCTTTGCGAATATGTAAAAAAATTCAAAAAAAATTTACGCGGAGACCTTCTAGCAACAAACAAACAATGATGAAATGCAGTATTATACCATTAGAAATTGGTGGAAAGGAATTCTACAACCTTCACAGAGGTCCCTATATAATGCATAATTCTTATGACTTTTTTGTTATTCAGGGCGGCCAAGTTTGAAAGATCGCCAAACATTTTTGTAACCGCACTAGTGTGTAATAATTAACAGTTCTTAGCAAGTTTCGGTATAATTTTTTAATAAAGAAATAGTTCCTAAACTTATGAGCTAATTATTATTTTATTTTAAAATAAGAATCAATTCATTTAAAAATTAAAAAAATGTAAAAACTGGAGATTAATAGAAATTTTTATAGTAAACTTGATAGAAATTTTTTCAGTAAACTTGCAATAATGTGCTGTGAATACGACAATTTTTTATTCTTGATATTTTGATTTTTTTAAAATTTTTCTAACCAACAGTTTGGCAACGTCATAGCACAATAAAAACAAGTTTCATTTCATCATACCTACCTAAGTGGGTACGTACACTCATCTGATTACAAACGTAAAAAGTTAAAAAAACATTTCAAGTTCACTAGGTATGTATTGTACATTCCATATATAATATATGTATGTATTAAGTCTATGTATGTGTGTATGTATGTATGTATGTATTATTAATATGATGTATGTATGTATGTATGTATGTATGTATGTATGTATGTATGTATGTATGTACGTATGTACGTATGTACGTATGTACGTATGTACGTATGTATTTATGTATGTATGTATGTATGTATATATGTATGTATGTACGTATGTATGTATGTATGTATGTATGTGTACATGTACATGCACATAGAGCCCTGTGGTCATCAGTAGCCTGCTTTATACTCTTCATAACGGTCATAAACGTAAAACTGGACGTCGTACGAATGCGTCACGTGATCACTTTTATGACGTCACCACTATGACGGCAAGTATCGGCGCGTGGAACAATTAAAGGGCGTTAAATGATAATAATAATAATAATTATTATTATTATTATTATGACAAGTATTATGACTATTATTATGACTTTTATTATTAAATAACAAAAGCATTTACAATAATAAAAAGAATAAAAATTAATCACAGTGGAGTTAAGCAAAATGGCATGAGGTGCCAACAAAATTATCGCCCCAGCCATTTCTATCTAAATAATTTCATTCTACTAATTCTATTTAAATAATTTTATTCTACTACTAATTAAGATGGTTTTTGTTAGATTGAATATTATTTTTCGCAATTCTCTCTGCAATATTTTCCAGGCACATCAGCAACAGAGACACAGTGCATGTAAATACACGTGGAACATTGGGCTGGGATCTTTTTGCAATCGAACCTGGTCACTGCTAAATCAGTACTTCAATCAGTACCTATAGCGCTACAACATTGCACGCTACTGTTATACTAGTATGTGTATTTTTTTGACTAGTACGTTGTTGTTATATTAATAATAATACTTCTATAGTCACATTTCATAGCTTAAACCCCATTAAAACATTAAGAGTATTAGTGTCATTGACAACCAGTAACAATAATTACAATGAAGATAGTCTAAAAAACTAATATAACAATGGCTATGAAGAGGCAGTTAAAAATAATACCTGCAATAAAGCAGATGTCATCAAACAGCTTGGGACCTGCTTGTTGGAATGGGAAAACAATTCTATTGTAGTATTTCTTGTAGTATTTGTAATAAGTTTGCAGTTGTATTTGTGTTAAAAGAGTATTTTCAATATTTTTAGTAGTATTTAGGATAATATTGGTAGGAGTGTCTGTATTAAACAACAAATACTTGCAGGAGTGTCCGTATTTAAAAAAGTATTTTTATTAAATATTGATGAAAGATTTTGCTTTGAAATATTCATTTGTACGTGCAGTGTGTAATGGTGTTTGCAGTAGTATTTTCAACAGTAATGTATTTTAAATAGTATTTGTGGCATTGTAGTATTACATAACGAAAATAACATCAATAAAAACATAAGTTAATTTAAAAACATTTGATAATCTTACTGTCATTTTTGATATATGTTAGTAGTAGTTGTAGCTGCATAGCATGGTAACAGTGCTCATAAAATCAATAGAAGTAATTGTGTATCAGTGAAAATGAAAGCTATCCAGTGGTCGCCCTAATAAACTGCTGCTATAGGTATAAAGAAAAACTTTGCAAAAGTAATTACATGAAGGCACGCCGTGGTGTGGTGTGTTTTGTTGTGTGGTTTGTGGCTGCCGAGTCGTGTCGTTTCGCGTGGTATGACGTGTCGTTGCCGTGTAGTGTGGAGTTGTATGTATGTTGTTGTTGTTGTTGTTGTATGTCTGCTGTTGTTTTGTTTTGTATCTGTTGTTATTTGTTTGTTTGTTGTATTAGTTTGTGGTTGTAAATCTGCAGCAGTGTGTTTGTATGTGTGTGTTTGATGATTTACGTATGTGTTGTTTTGTGTTTGTTGTTCTGGGCCTGTAGAACTATTAAAGTTAAATTGTTGTTGTTGTTCATATTTAACGGCATTTATGCTCCCAAAGTGGTGCAATTGTTTGCCAAATTAAAAAAAAATTATTTTCTTTTTCCATGTGGAAAAATAGAAGTTCAGATAATATGAAAAATGTTTATTGCACTGAACAAAGTTAAATTAGTATTACATTTGTTAGAGTGATAGTAAAGGTAGATGTACTATCATAAATAGTATATGTAGTATCATCGATTATGTGGCAGTAGAAGCAAACGGCGGCAATAAAAGCGTCAAAAAAGTAGTAGTAGTAGCCACAATTGCGATCTACATCATGTTGAATGCTGCACTTAATCCCGGTATCTCAAC